CAGCATCCTGGCCTGTATCAGAAATGGTGTGTTTGGCAGGAACAGAGAAGTGATCATGCCCCCTGTACTGGTGTAGTACTGCCCCAGTATTTTGCACCTCAAATACTGTGTTCAGTTTTGGGCCCCTCACTACAAGAAAGACATTGAGGTGCTGGAGCGTGTCCAGAGAAGGGCAATGAAGCTGGTGAAGGGCCTGGAGAACAGATCTGGTGAGGAGCAGGTGAGGGATCTGATGGCAGGAACAGAGAAGTGATCATGCCCCCTGTACTGGTGTAGTACTGCCCCAGTATTTTGCACCTCAAATACTGTGTTCAGTTTTGGGCCCCTCACTACAAGAAAGACATTGAGGTGCTGGAGCGTGTCCAGAGAAGGGCAATGAAGCTGGTGAAGGGCCTGGAGAACAGATCTGGTGAGGAGCAGGTGAGGGATCTGAGGTTGTTTAGAGAACAGATCTGGTGAGGAGCAGCTGAGGGATCTGGGATTGTTCAGTCTGCAGAAGAGGAAGCTGAGGGCAGACCTTATCACTCTCTACGAATACCTGGAAGGAGGTTGGAGTGAGGTGGGGGTCAGTCTCTTCTCCCAAGTAACAAGTGACAGGATGAGAGGAAACTGCCCCAAGTTGCATGAGGGGAGGTTTAGATTAGATATTATGAAAAATTTCTTCACCGAAAGGATTATCAAGCACTAGAACAGACTGCCCAAGGAAGTGGTTGAGTAACTATTGCTAGAGGTATTTAAAAGACGTGTAGATGTGGCACTTAGGGACATGGTTTAGTGGTGGACTTGGCAGTGCTGGCTTAACAGTTGGACTGGATCTTAAAGGTCTTTTCCAACCTAAACAATTCCATGACTCCACGAAAAGGAAGGTATCCACATTTGTCTCAAGTTACCAAGAAGTCTGCAGTTTGGTCTTGACTTCATCATTTTTAGATAATTTTTTTTGGCAGGTTTCTGCCCTTGTGTGGGATCACACATGAACATTTGTATTGTTGAAAATTACCTGCTCCAACACTAACAGAGAAAGAATTGGAGGAGGTTCATACGCATAATATATATCACACAATCTGAAGACACTTTTGATCTCTTGCACAGGTGTTAAAGTATCTCAACTCTTTGGTCATTATTGCTCTAAGGGAAGAAATTCTATCAAGATTCTGCAGATCTGATTCCAAATACAACGGCTCTTACTGAAGACAAGCATCTCCACAAAGGAAAAAAAACACCCCACAACAGAAACTTAGCAAAATTCATGCACACAAGTAAAACACTGGCTCATAGAAAGTGACATCTCCCAAATCAAACCACAGATATCAAATAATTTGCTACAGAACTCTTTAACTAACATGAATGAATGAGTTAAGGGTTCATAAAAAGATGACAACATGGTTCTAGCCCAAATCTCCTAATGGAAGAGAGAAACTCTGTGTTGCTATTTCCCTCACCAGCAGATTTTACATTAACATTCTTTTCTTTCACCAGCAGTCTCCTTCACCCAACCAGTCAGTTATACTGAGCTACCAAAATCTGACTAGTAAGAAAGTCTCCCTGCTTCGAGGAAGATGGTCATACGTGCATGCTCGTACTAGTTTTTAACTCTGTGCATTGGGTTTGCATGGCAAGGTTTCGGTAGCAGGGGGGCTACAGGGGTGGCTTCTGTGAAAAGCTGCTAGAAGCTGCCCCCAAGTCCAATAGAGCCAATGTCAGCCAGCTCCAAGATGGACCTGCCACTGGGTGACACCAAGTGCATCAGCAATAGAGGTAGCACCTCTGTGATAACATCAGCAGTTGCTCTGTCATCTGATAAACCCTCACCAACCAGGGAGGGGAAGCAGGAAAAAGGAGAGAAGACGTGTAGGTGAAAGTGCAACAGGTTTAATGAAAACACCACCAGTACAAACAGAAAATACTTAGCCAAATGAATATTCTGTCATCGGGATGCACTGCAGATTAGTCCTCAGCAGAAGCCAGAGGAGGAGCAGGAGGAACCCCAGTAAGAATAACCTCGCAGGAGCTCCCCCTCCTCAGCAAACCTCCTCCCTTTATAATGACCATGATACTATGGTGTGGGTTACCCCTGTAGCTAACTCAGGTCAGCTGCCCTGGCTGGCTTGAAACTGCTAATGGCTGGCCTGTGATTCTCCCCCAGCCAAACCAAGACACCTATTTAAGCCAGGGCAAAAGTTATTACACAAGAGCAATTGCAGCAGGAGAAAAGAGTGAGAATATGTGAAAGAAACAACTCTGCAGACACCAAGGTCAGTGAAGGAGTGGGAGGATGTGCTCCAGGTGCCAGAACTGTGATTCTCCTGCATCCCAGGGTGAAGACCCTGGTGAGGCAGGCTGTCCCCCTGCAGGCCATGGAGGTCTACAGTGGGGCAGATATTCACCTGCAGCCCATGAAGGACCCCACACCAAAGCAGGTGGATGCACCCAAAGGAGATTGTGACCCCATGGGAAGCCCACGTTGGAGCAGGGTCCTGGCAGGACCTGTGGACCCATGCAGAGAGGACCTCACGCTGGAGCAGGTTTGCTGGCAGGACTTGTGACTCCACAGGGGACCCACACTGAAGCTGTCTGTTGCTGAAGGACTGCACCAGGAGGGACACATGCTGCAGCAGTTCATGTAGCCCATGGGAAGGACCCACATTGGAGAAATTCATGGAGGACTGTCTCCCATAGGAGGGAACCCACACTGGAGCAAGTGAAGAGCATGAAGAGTCCTCCCACTGAGGAAGAAGGAACAGCAGAAACAATATGTGATGAACTCATCACAACCTCCATTCCCCATCCCCCTGTACCACCGGTGGGGGAGGAGACAGAGAAACTGGGAATAAAGTCAAGCCTGAGAAAAAGGGAGGGGTGGGGGGCAAGGTGTTTTAAGATTTGGTTTGATTTCTCATTACCCTTCCCTGATTTGATTGGTAACAAATTAAACTAAATTTCCCCAAGTCAAGTCTGCTTTACCCATGACTGTAATTGCTGAGTGATCTTCCTCTGTCCTTACCTCAACCCAAGCCTTTCATTATATTTTCTCTCCCCTGTCCAGCTGAGGAGGGGAGAGATAGAGCAACTTTGGTGGGCACCTGGCATACAGCCAGGGTCAACCCACCACACCCTGGTCTACAGCTGAAGTAGCTAGTTTGTTTTTCCCCATCATGGAGTACAACTTTCATTTCTGGCATAAGTAAACGAAGTGTGATTAGTACAATATAAAAATAAATCAAGATTGTTAGGAAAATTTTAGATAAATTAAAATTTCACTGGAATATAAGTTAGAAGTTTTGCTAAATCATGCAAGTGGTCTTAAAACCCCTTCCCATCTCACCACAACTTCTGAGGTGGACACAAGTTGTTGTATTTCAGTTCTGTGAACTTTCTCACACAGTGCATGCAGTTTTAACTTTTCAAATAGTATCTACAGTAAGAAAAAACACATAAAGGAAAGGTTTCAGTGTTTCAAGTGCCAAAACAGAAAAATTATTTGATGCTTGAACTTAAGTCTAGAAAACAGATTTCAGGGAAACTAGAGCATACTGTAGCAAAGAGAAGTAACATAGAATTTAAAAGATCGAATCTTTATTTTTGCATTACTGAAAAAGTACTGTATTTTCTAAAATCAAATGCATAACTTATGTAAATACATTCAAATACAGATCATCCAACACTGCCACATTTATGAAAAACTGGTATGTCCTCAATTAAAATCAGAAAATGAGATAATATCAAAGAAAAAGAATTCTGAAGTTGTAAGGACAATTTTATATGCTTTATAATTCTTCTGTATCAGTAACAATTTACAGAACTTACAATTTACATAGTAATAGCATAAATATTACCTCTCTGAGTTGACTACTGCTGGTCAAAAGGAATTGTTCTCCAGCAACTTGATGAGCTTCCTGTTCAAGCTCTTTGAGTCGCAACTATAAATTTTTACATCAGAGTTATTCTGTTTACGTTATTATTTTCATCAATAACTGGTACTTCCTAGGTTAACAAGTATATTAGACTTCTATGTAAAAACAGGATATTTGATAATGTGCAATCATTGCTGGCTATCAACATTCTGTTCAGTAGATTGCTTATATACTCTTTACTACAGTAAATCCCCTTCCCAGATCGTGACTAAATACAGATTAAAAAGTACCAAAATTTGTGGGAAGATAATTTAGGTTAGTGAATTCTACAGAGATGTGTGAGAAACACAGCTATGCAAGTTACTCTGCTAAATTAATAATCTGTCAAACCACTATGATTATCTAATCAGATTTTATGCTACAAAACAGGATTCTCTTGTAGCTAGTTCTATCAATGGGAAATGGCAAACTCAGAACTCTCAGAACATGTAACTCGTAAAGAACATTTTATTTAGAGAGAGAGAGAAATACTATCGCTTCTCAGAAGATGGTTACTGATAACTGCAGGTTCAGAAAGAGTCATTACAATTTTTACTCTACAACACAACTCAAAAGGACCCGTGTGTTTTGCAAAGCAATCACAGTTCGGGGGCAAGGCTAATGAGGCTCTTTTTTGCTTGCCTAAATAAACGTGGAAGTATCCTAATATGTAAATATCATTATATTTATAATAATAAAAATACTAGAAACTCCAAACTGTCATGTAAAATGTGACAGAGATTCCTCCTCTTTTTAGTCACGTTATCCTCAGTATAAAGAGAAAGGCGATGCTATACAATTTCCAAAAGAAAAAGCAAAGACAAAATTTACCCCCAGAATCTCTGATGTTTTTTTCAGTTCTTGTTTGTTCACATGTATTTTGTGTGTTTCCATCACTGCAAATACAATTATATACTGAGAACACTTACAATTGGCAATTTCAATCTTACACGCTGCTTAGACTGTAAAATGGAAACCTCAGAGTCGCAGAGCTGTTATGAGGCTAAGATAATATTTAGTATTCCGAGGTTTAACATTCTACTTGAGCATAGTCAGCAGCTGCGTAAAATAGTGAAGATTCACATTTTGAACTGAACTTTCATACCTGCCAGAATTTTGATAAGCGGAAGCTCTAATGTGCAAAATAATTTCCACAAACCTTGAACCTGTAAAGCAAGACACAAATAAGTTCTTCAGTATCCACCAATTTTATTCTTAAAACATATGGTGGTGTCATTATATGGGTCTATTTTCCAGTAAGCAGTATTTAACTTTCTGTATAATCCCTTTTTATGTAACCACACTGTTTGTGGAATGAAATACTATTTTGTGTAAATTATAGTATCCAAATACTGTAGCCTCATTTTGTGGGGAATAGTAATACATATTATAATAATAACCATTTTGTACAGGAATAGCAATAGAGAAATAGACATACCTCATTTTTCTAAACAGTTTATTTTTAGGGCAAGCTCCATTCTAATAGGATATACAATTATCCCTTTTTCTTTATTCGCTTAAACAATTAAGCAGCTATTCAGAATTCATAACTTTGTTTTCATTAGGAAGAAAATAAAAGATGATAGGGTTATGTACCCAACTTAGTTACAAAGAAGAGGAAGTCTGTTTTGTCTTCTAGCCACTGAAGCAATCTCACAGCAACATTTCTCCAAAAACTCTTCCTGTAGGCTGGGTACCCGTGTTTCTGTGCCTTTGGTGTCTCCCTATTACCTTCCTTCACAGATTGTTTCATCATACTGCTGGGTCACTTAGATATCCAAATATGGCTCCATCAACTAATGTTCTAAGCACTACACTCGCTACCATCAATTTTGAGGAAACCCCCTAGCATTCTGAGGCACCTTGCACCAGAAGCTGAGCATATCCGTAAATTCTGACACTTTTCCAGGCATATGATTACAGGGTGAAAAACACACACAGAAAACCACTAAAAGACTGAAAGACTTCTTCAGATGCATTCTGAACTGCAATAAGGACCAAAATAGAATAAAATCATTCACTTGGAAAGGACCTACAACAATCATCTAGTTCAAATGCCTGACCGCTTCAGGGCTGACCAAAATTTAGAGCATATTATTAACAGCATTGACCTCTTAACCACTGACAGGCTTGGGTCATCGACCACCTCTCTGGGAAGCCTGTTCCAGTGTTTGACTACTACAACCTAGAGCAACAGATACATTGAGAGTTTCTGCACCCAAGGAATACATAAAAAACCCCAGCTACAATCTGTTAACACTTTTTAGACTGTTTCATAAAGCTTTAAAATATCAAAAGGTCACAATATTCTGAACATTTCCTGTTATTAGAATCTTAATTTAAATATTTAGTTAACTGTTGCAGAGGAAAAGATTTTTTTCTAAAGATTAAACTTGAGACTAACTATTTCCTACTTCTGGAAAAAATGGCAAATTTGACAGGCAACTTTATTTTAACTGTTGACCAACACTGTAAACCAGTAAGGATTGAAGCTTTCTATTTAACTCAAGTAGAGATTCTGATTTGAATGAGAAGCACATCACCAACTCTCTTTAATTCATGATAATACCTCCAAAGTGACTACTTTTTATACTTACCTGTAAGTCATGAGCAAGGTCCATAGTTACATTATAAAGCTTCTCCAAGCTCACACGTAAGTTTTGATACTGATATAAATTAAAAAAAAAAATCAAGTTTTAATGCTACAATAAAAATATTTAGAGCATTATTTCAAAAGGCATTAAACTATATAAATATACTTTTCTATGTCTCCTGTTATATCTAACATTTTAGTAATGTTCTAGATCTCTGATAAACAGTTCATGAACAGAGCAGTACAGATCATGAATATTCAAGATTTTACCTATTCCTTTATTTACATTTTTGCACAGAGAGAGTATGGAGAAATAGTATCGCTACCCTGCCTTTGACATTGAAATCAGAATCCTACTACTTTTAAAATGAAAAATTCCTTGGAATTTTCTTTCTCCTATCAGTACTGCC